GGCGGGGCTCGATGGTTGCTAAGGGTTACGCGGCAACACAAATCAGTGCCGGGCAGTGAGCCCTGCGAGCCCGGCGCAAAGGAAGCGGAGGGGCCGTTCCGTGCCTGCCCCGCGCAGTGTAAGTGACACCGGCCCCCGCTGCCCTGGCCAGCACCCCCGTCCCCTCCCGCCCAGGCTGCACGGGGATGTGGCGCTTGGCACAAAGCTGACGGGGGCTGTGGCAGAGGGTTCCCTCCCCCCTCTCTCAAGCCGATCTGCGCTGAGCGTCTGTGGCAGGGCCCCGTGCGGACTCCGCAGCCCAGGTACAACGTGACCGCGCCGCCCAGTCCCCTCCGCCAGCCCCAAGGCAGCCGCGTGACATCTGCAGCCCGCCCCGCGCCTGCCCCTCCCCCGGGGCAGGTTAGCCCCTGATTCCCAGTCCAAGAGCAGAAAGTTATAGAGCTGTATCGGGGGGGGAGGGAGGTATTACAAGTGCCAAACAGTTAATGTGATAAGAACTTCAGCGAGCGATGGGTTAGGTGTTTATATAGTTTGTTTGTTTGATTGATTGATTCAATAAAATAATCAAATCAGGAGCTGGTTAGTTGTACAGGATGACATAGGTTTCGGGTCAGCCAAGTGACCGTCATGTCAGCCTGTTCTGAAGGAGCTGGGCTAAGTCACTTCAAAGCCTCATCGGAATTTGTGACATGCCAGCTCACCCCCAGCTGCTGCCATGGGACGATTCTGCTCATGTACAAGCAAAACAAACCAGATCATTTTCTGCCCGGTCCTTTTATTTCCTGAGGATTGGGAGTGTGCTACATTAACAACAAATAATACAACAAATTACATTTCCCCGTTGCCAGAACCGAAAACACCAATCAATCCATGTTAATGTCTTGTGATATATTGGCATAGCAACTTAAGGAGGGTATTGCTCTCTGTTGCCCAGCTAGCACTTTGTCTGCCTTCTTCCTGTGTAGTCTGCAGTCTCTGACCCTGCCACATTATTTTTGACTGTACTAGCAGAGGATAAAATTAGAGTAGGTTTTGCTGCTTGCTGGAGGCAGTGTGGTGACTGCACCTCATGGGTGAATCTTCAAAGGAGGAGGTGAGGACTATTGGGATTCAAGTGAACTGGGAGTTGTAGGAAGATTATAAGGGAAGAGCTGAAACTTGTTTAACTTTTTCCACTATGAATAGTCCAATTGATATTAATGGGCTATTCACTATCTAAAATTAAGCATGTAAGTCTTTTAAGAATTGGGGCCAATTTCAAAGGCAGACAGTGAAGCTGTAAGGATACTGAATACAAGAATAAGAGAAAAGTGAAACAAGAAAAGGGGTAGTTTGAGGATCATGAGAAACACCTGCAGTCATATTTGGAGTCAGGGATTGAAAAAGAAGAAATCTATCAAAACCTATAGAGATGTTTAGGGCACCATTTAAGATTTTGTTAGGGAGGGCAACTTTAACCCTGATTCCAAGAGCTATTTAAGCACTTGAAAACTAGGGTGGGTTTGTTTGTTTGTTTGTTCAGGTAATGGGAGAAGGGCACAACAAAAAATGGTGCTCAAAGAGAGGGCTCATTTCACAACGTATGAAATTTGCTCAGCTATAGGGAGGGGATAGCTAGGGGATGTGTGCGGAGGAGGTGCTGCAAAGGGAAATCATGCCTTACTAATCTGCTAGTTCTTTGAGGTGGTCAACAAACATGTGGACAAGGGGGATCCAGTGGATATAGTACACTTAGATTTCCAGAAAGTCTTTGACAATGTCCCTCACCAAACGCTCTTAAGTAAAGTAAGTTATCATGGGATAAGAGAGAAGGTCCTTTATGGATTGATAACTGGCTAAAAGCCAGGAAACAAAGGGTAGGAATAAACAGTAAGTTTTCAGAGTGAAGAGAGGTAACTAGTGGAGTCCTCAAAGGGTCTGTCCTGGGATCAATCCTATTCAACCTATATATAAATGATTTGGAGAAAGGGATAAACAGTGAGGTGGCAACATTTACAGATGATACCAAACTGCTCAAGATAGTTAAGACCAAAGCAGACTGTAAAGAGCTTCAAAAAGATCTCACCAAACTAAGTGATTGGGCATCAAAATGGCAAATGAAATTTATTGTTGATAAATGGAAAGTAATGTCCATTGGAAAAAATAATCCCAACTATACATACAAAATGTTGGGACAATGTTGATAGTTCTCTGAAAACATCCACTCATTGCACAGCAGCAGTCAAAAAAGCAAATAGAATGTTAGGAATCGTTAAAAAAGGGATAGAGAATAAGACAGAAAATATCTTATTGCCACTATATAAAACCATGGTACGCCCACATCTTGAATACTGCATACAGATGTGATCTCCTCATCTCAAAAAATATGGCATTGGAAAAGGTTCAGAAAAGGGCAACAGAAATGATTAGGGGTTCGGAATGGGACCCATATGACGAGAAATTAAAAAGACTTGGACTTTTCAGCTTAGAAAAGAGGAGATGAAGGGGAGATATGATAGAGGTCTATAAAATCATGACTAGTGTGGAAAAAGTGAATAAGGAGAAGTTATTTACTTATTCCCACAGTATAAAAACTAGGAGTCACCACATGAAATTAATAGGCAGCAGGTTTAAAACAAAAGGAAGTTTTTCTTCATTCAGTGTACAGTCAACCTTTGGAACTCCTTGCCAGAGGAAGGCTAGAACTTTAGCGGGGTTCAAAAAAGAGCTAGATAGATTCATGGAGGTTAGGTCCATCAATGGCTATTATCCAGGATGGGTTCTTAGCCTCTGTTTCTCTGGAGGTGGATGACAGGGGAGGGATTATGTGAGGATTACCTGTTGTGTTCCTTTTCTCTGGGGCATCTGGTATTGGCCACCATCGGCAGACAGGATACTGGGCCGGATGGATCATTGGTCTGACCCAATATGGCCATTCTTATGTTCTTATGTACTGTGGTATGTGCCCAGTTCCTAACTGACACATTGAAGGCATGTCAGCTCTGCGAAGTAAATCAGGAGTCAGGCTCCTGCTTTCCCAGCAGTATGGCCTGTAGTGACTCTATGCTCTTAGAGAGGGCAGCAAACCATGACAGCTGGGGAAGGAGGGACAGCTCGATGTGTTCCCTCTTGCTGCAAACCTTACCCAATAATGTACAAAACTTTTAGGGTAGGTCCTCTTTCCTCCATGAATGGCATCCCCATGTAATGGGATTAATGAAGGTTCTTATAATCTCTTCTTTTTCTGCAATTATTCTCTGCCCCTGCATTGTATATGTTCAATAGTTATATTTTCCTTTGTCAATATCCATTGTTTACTAAGATGATCAATTGTTATTTTCTGTCTGCTTCCTCATATGTAAATCACTGTGTCTAGTGTTACATAAATAACATTTCCCCCCTTATTTTAGCCTATTTTAATAATGGCATCACCAGAGAAAAAACAAGATTATCCTTTTATGGATATATTTGATGAAGATGAAGCTGAAAAATCCTTTCTGTTGTCTAAACCTACCTGCTTAATTATCCTTGGAAAGCCAGTAAGAACACCAATATCTATATTTTAATTTAAACATTTCATAGACATTATTTTTCTTTCAGATAGATTTGATAAAGGTTTTTAATTTTCTTTAAAAATAGCTTAGTAATACAGTCAAAGCCACTCTAGGATCTGATACTGCATTTTTTTCATTCCAAAACTACTGTTGAGACTAGTTAGAATTTTAGACATGAAGGATGAAGAGCCTAAATCCTGCAAGGTCCTGAACATCTTTTGCTTTCATTAAAATCTGTAGGAATTGAGGATACGCTTTGCAGTGTCACCTGTTGGCTCCTTTAATGGGACACATACAATTAGGAAAACTACTTTAATAAGATAAACCTAAGGGAATAAGGTTTTTTTTCTATTACATTCAATGAATGTTCTGTTATCTTAATATAAATATGACAATTGCTCAGCCTGTTTTGGTAGGGTTTTTTTGGAGGAGGGTGGCTAAATTATCAGCTACAATTAGAAGTATTCGTACTATGATAATAGGTTACAGATTTCTCCAAGATTTTCTTCTGCTTTTTACATCAGCCAAAATGTTTGTTTTATATTCATCACATTTTAATATGAAAACCATATGATAAATGGAAAATTAAAATAAGTATCAGTAATAGACAAAATTGAATAAACAAATACAGAAATATATGATAATACTGAGTGCTATTTACATCTTTTTTGTTTAAATACAACTGCCCTTTGATCATGAAAAACTGAAATCCACCAAAGGATCCTGGATTAAGATGCTTGTACTGTGTTATTGTAGAAATTTAAGAGCTCTTTTTTTCCTTAAAAGTTATGTGGCCTATTGGACTAAAATAATTAGATTAGAAAGTTTCAAGTAGTTGTGTTGTTTTCCTTTGAGCCAACAGAAGTTAAGAAGGAATGGCCTTCCCTATTTTAACCTATAAGGGCCACCTCTGATCTATAAGAACAGACAGGTGGATTCTATATATTATTTCAAGTGGTTGGTCACTACAGTTCAAGACCTTTCCTTTTCCAACCTTCTTCCCCCACCCTTTGTCCCCTTTCAGGGAGTCATAGCATAAGGACCTTTTGGGTACATCTACACAGCAACATTATTTCAATATAACTAGCATCATTTCAAAATAACTTAGTCTGCATCTACACAGCATGCAGTTATTTTGAAATCATGTCGAAATACTGTCAAGCTGAAGGATTTCTTACTCCATCTCCTGGAACCCTCATTGTACAAGGAGTAAGGGAAGTCGGAGGAAGAGTGCTCTATTTTGAAATAAGTGCTGTGTAGATGCTCCCAATTTCAAAATAAGCTATTTCGAAATAAGCTATGCTGTTGATGTAGCTCAAATTGCATAGCTTATTTCAAGTTAAGCCCTGCTATGTAGATACACCCTAAGGATGCGTCTAGACTGGCAAGATTTTGCGCAAAAGCAACTGCTTTTGCGCAAAAACTTGCCAGCTGTCTACACTGGCTGCTTGAATTTGCGCAAGAGCATTGACTTTGTAATGTACAAAATCAGTGCTTCTTGTGCAAATACTTTCCCGCTCCCCCTCGGGAAAAAGCCCTCTTGCGCAAGAATACTTGCTCAAGAGGGCCAGTGTAGACAGGGAAGAATTGTTTTGCGCAAAAAAGCCCTGATGGCTAAAATGGCGATCGGGGCTTTCTTGCTCAAAATCGCGTCTAGACTGGCCATGGATGCTTTTGCGCAAAAGCAAATCTTTTGCGCAAAGGCACTTGCCAATCTAGATACGCTTTTGTGGAAATACTTTTAATGGAAAAACTTTTCCATTAAAAGTATTTCCGGAAAATCATGCCAGTCTAGATGCAGCCTTAAGGGACTCTGCTCTCTAAGGATATGCATTTTGCATTGTTGCATGGCATAACTAAAGCCAACTTTCCTGGTCTAGTGTAGACCAGTTCATTTTAAGTGCAAAAAGTTGCAGAAGTATTATGACTCCACCTTCTTTTTATCCCTTTTGTTGCCTTACTCCAAAATGGCAGAAAGGTTTTGCTCAAACTTGCCCCAAAAGTTTACTGTAGCCTGAGATGAAAGATGTCCAGTTTTAGTCCCACAAAAACTTTTTATAGAAACTCATGAGTAACTCATATTAAAAGTTTAACATAGCCTTATTTATAAATACAAATATATTTATTATGAAGAAAATCAGTTTAAGGGAACAATTATATTAACAATAGTAGGAAATACATTATATGTTGCCTGGTGACCTTAAGGAGGTTTATGTTATAGCACATGGCACAGAGGCCCTGATCCTGACTAAGGCTTTTAGTGCCTACTGTATTACAAAGAAATAATAACAGGACATGCATTTCATTTGCATTTTCTTATGTGAGTAATGGTAAATTCTTTCTATTTTTAAGAAACTATGTCTTTTTTCATTTTAAGGGTACAGGAAAGAAAACATTAGCTAGAAAAATAGCTCAGTTATGGAAGTGCACACTCATTGAAGGTAAATATCAACTGTAATCACAACACTATAACACTTTTTGTTTTAGCTTTCTTTATGTTCCAAGAAATTCTAAATGGTACATTATTGACCAGAGTGAAGATCACTGGTAAGGGTAAACTGTGATAATCTTTCAGGAAACACATTGTTGAACATGGAAAATATATCTGCCTTTAGTTACATAGGTACTAAATAAGCCAATTTCCTCCTCATTTACAGGAGGAAATGTAAAACCTAATAACCAAAGGTAGGGCCCAGTCCTATCAGATGATCTATATGAGGTGATGTAACCCATATGTTTCTGTGGAACCTTGCTGAAGTCTGTAGGGGATCCATATGGGCACTGAGGTCCGACTGCTTGGATTTAGTTTCCAGGATCAGATAATGCCTGGTTTTTTGTTCCGTGTTTGTACAGTGCTTAGCACAATGGGGCTCTAGATGAGGCATTGGGATCCTCAGCACTTCTGTAGTTTTCTTTAGAGCAAAGGAAGTAAGTTATTATTGGTTTTGCTACAAAGTTGCAAAAAAAATACTATTTAAACTCTGGTTAACACTTCTATTTTAGAATGTAAATCAAGAACCCTTGGATTAATTCACTTACATTTTGCAGGGAATTTTTTGCCTCTGCCTGATATATATCCTACATTTAAAAATGGGGGAAGTCTAAATTGGGCCCATAAAAACTTTAACTATAGTGAAGCAGAAGTTACTTTAAACAACTCTTTGTTCAAGTTAATTATAATATACATGATTAGGCTGATTTTTAAGAAATAAACATGTTCATTAAACCTTGTTGTTAATAAACATTATAGATTTCAATTTTTGTACTATTGATTTTCCTTGTAAATATCAATATGGTTTTAGTGCATTAATTAGAAAATATGGAAGCCCTCTGGTGGTCAAAAAATGCTTCAGGTTCCTGTGCAAACCAGAGGCTTTAAAACATATAAAATAAAATGTCTTTATCGTGTTTTGAAGACTTTGAGTTCAAAGTATGATACAGTTTCTGTTTTAGTAAAATCACTTCACTTTATTTCCATCAAGAAAATATAGATTACTTAAGTCATTTTGCTTCTTTAATATAAAGTGACACCTGATGTAAAATATTTCTTATGTGAGAAAAAAATAGAAAAAGAATTTTTCAGCTACGTAAGGATCAGCCCCTTCCTCTGCATGTGGAATGCCTATTGACTTCAGTGAGACTTATATATGTGAAGGATTTGCAGGATTATCCTGAGGCTCCACCCTATCATTGCAGTTCATAGAGCCATGTGTAGGAGCTTTGTGTGTCAGGGGGTATCAAACTAGCACTGTCATGTTTAATTTGACCTTTAAGGGGTAATTTTTTTAACAGTTGTCTATTTTAAAAACTGATATCTTTGTATGGCTGTTCTCTTTTTGAAATTTGACTTTTTAATATGTGAAATGTTTTTTAGCTCGAAGATGCAATACCAAATTTCATACTAGTTACACTATAATAATATGAAATCACTAATAAAGACCACCATATTAGATTAACAATGCACATGTAAATGTACTGTTTCATGTACAATATGTTTTATAAATTGTTTAAATTTTGTTATGTATGGTGTACATTTTTTAGCTTTGGAAGTAATAGAAGAAAATATTACTGCAGGAACAGAATATGGACTTAAGGTAAAATGTACTATTTTATTACATTTCATGACATTCATAACGTTCAGTGTTTTTCCCCTTGAAGTCAATGGCAGCAAGATAGGATCACAATGCAAATATAAGAAGTTATGCTTTACGTTTTCCTTTAGATGCAAGAATTGCTTTATGGAGGTCAAAATATTCCTGAAGAACTGATTACAAAGATGATTCTGAAAAAGATTGAGTCACCAGAAGTTGCTCACTTTGGTATGTGTTGTCATTTTTTCAGAACTCTCAAGGTATGCCTACCATAGCTCTCTAAAACTTAGTTTTGTCTTTTTATATCTCTAGATCATAAGATTTTTTAAAATTCTGTTATACTGCAATCTGTTGAGTTCAGTCAACCATTTTTCCACCAGCTAAATCAGTAGATGAAGCAATGAAAACCAGAATCCATCTTCATTGCTTCATCTATTGCAGAACATGGACATCTGGAAATTAAGGTAACCTAAGGTGGCATTTAGGGACTACTGCAGTTGATGGTAGAGAACAGCAAACTGCTATGTACTCATGCACACACCAACAGAGTGATATTTTTTACACAAATTATATCCTTCTCTGATTTTTCTGTAATAAAGGTGAGATGCTATAAGAGATTGAGGTGTCAAAATAAATAGTTCTGCAACAAAATGATCATTTTATAAAAGGAAAGAGTCCCAAACTCACATGGTATACATCCAAAAGTTCTGAAGGAATTCAAGTATTAATTTGCTAACTTGCTAGCAAATATATGCAATCTCTCAGAGCGGATAATTGGGAGAGAGGTTATGACTCTATTTTAAAAAGGCCTATGTGTGATCTAAGGAATTGCAGACTAGTAAATCTTAGATCTGTTCCTGGTAAACTGATAGACACTATGGCTATATCTACAGTACAAGGTTTTTGCACAAAAACCAGAAGAGCATCCACCCCTTGAAAGTGTTTTTGCGCAAAAAAAACCAAACAAAAAAACAGTAAATTGACGGGATAGAGGACTTTTGCTGGTAGAGTTATTCCTCTCCCAACGAGGAATAACTCCTTTTTGTGCTACAGCTCTTGTGCAAAAAGATCCTATTAGCAAAAGTACAGATGCTCTGATGACCAGTCTGTTAACGGCAATCAGAGCTTTCTTACGCAAGAGCGTCCATGCAGTGTCGATGCTCTCTTGCAATGTGCTTTTGAGGTGTTGATGCACTTTTGCTGAAGAAGTTTTTGCTGAAATACTCTTCCACAAAAACTTCTCACGCAAAAATCCTGCAGTGTAGACAAAGCCTATAACTAAAAACAGAATAATAAACACCTTGAATTCATGACATGATAGTCTAAATCAGAACATTTTATTCAAAGGAAAATCATGTTTCACTAACGTCAGAATTCTTCGAATATGCCAGTGAAGTAGTGGATAAAGAAGAATGATTTGACATGATTTTGATTTTTGTAAGTTCTTTAACAAGGTCAAAAGAGGGAACAAAAGAAATGAAATAATCATGAAGTAAGAGACAAAGCACTGTCATGGATCAAAAATTGGCAAAGACACAGGAAACTGTAAGAATAAATGGTCAGTTTTTGTCATGGCAAAAGGTTAACAGGTCTCTCTCTATTAAGATTAGTAAAGTATTGTCTATTATCTACTGTCTAATGATCTGGACAGGAAGATAATTAGTGAGATAGCAAAATGTGTAGATAAAAGGTTGTTTGAAGTAGTCAAGGCCAGAGAAGTCAGTGAAGAATATGGAGATTTAAGTAAGCAAGGTAAATGTGCAGCACCATGGCAGATGGAGTTAAATATTGACAAATGCAAAATAATCCACATGAGAAGCAAAATTTCAAACTCATTGATTAATTTATTAGGGTTCGAAATTAAGTATATCAAATCAGAAAAAGGACATGGAAATCATTGTGGACATCTCAATGCTTATTGTGAAGTTGTCGTAAAAAACCAAACAACATGTTAGGATGCATCAGTAATAGGATGGAGAATAATGTGTAAAAAGTTATGGTGCCATTATGTAAAAGTGTGATATGCCATCATCTGGAATATTGTGTGCAGTACCTTTTCTAAGAGAACAGTGCAAAATTAGAGTGTGGGGCAAAGAAGGGTGACAAGGTTCATATAGAATTCAGAGATGGTGAAAAGATTGGGGCTTATTTTAGAAACAAAATAAATAAGAGTGAACATAATAAAATAATGAATGGCACTAAGAAGGTAAATTGGAATTTCTGTCCTCATTACACAAGAACAAGGAACATTTAATGACAGGAAAAGTTTGCAGATTCAAAACCGATAATAGGAAATACTTTTACACATAAACCCTGATTAGACTCTGGTACTCATTATCACAAGGCGCTGCTAAGGACAAAAATTTCACAGAATCCAAACAAGAATTGGACATTTTTATGTGGGTAAGTATAATATTTAGTTACAATAGTTAATGTTTTTTTTTTTTTTTAAATATTGGAAGGGATATAAAACCTCATGCTTCAGGATTTAAGGCAATTTCTAACTACAGTAAAACTCCAGTTGTTCGGCATCCAGTGGTCCGGCACTGCCGATAGTCCGGCACCAACTGGAACCTGGAAGTTCTCTAGCCAGCTGGACAATTGGAACTGCTCTGCCCTCGGCTTCGGAGGAGGTGCAGAGTCTGGGATGGAGGCTGGGTGCAGAAGGGAACTTGGGATAAGAGATTGGGGTGCAGGAGGGAGAGTAGGGTCTCGGAGGGAGTTTGAATGAAAGAGGCAGCTGAAACTAACCAGCAGCGGACTTGGGGAAGCCAGGGGCAGAGCAGCTGGGGCGCTGCCGAGTTGGTCCCGCAGCGCCGCCCCTCACCTGTGCGGCGCTGCGGGATGAACCCGGCAGCACTCCAGCTGTTCTGCCCCCCGGCTTCTCCAAGTCCACTGCTGCTGAAACTGACTAGCGGCGGACTTGAGTAAGCCGGGGTCAGAGCAGCTGGAGTGCTGCTCACTCTGCGCAGTTCCCCGCTGACCCTCCACCCCAGACTCCTCATAGCCCCTCTTCCAGTACTCCGGCATATCCAATAATCCGGCACCCCTTAGGTCCCAAAGGTGCCGGATTATCGGAAGTTTACTGTTTTAGGAATTAAGATTAAACTGGTAAACTAGTGGACACTATAACGAAAAACAGAATAATAAAACATCTGCATGGCATTTTCATATGTCTGCCTACTGTGAGTTTTCTTGCACTTTTGAAGCATCTAATGCTGCTTGCTTTTCTACACAGGATACTGGTCAAAATGGATCAGAAGTCTTATCCTGTATAAAAAACTGTTATATACCTCTTAACTGTTGTTCTTGGAGATGTGTTGCTCATGTCCATTCTAGTTAGGTGTGCGCACCATATGCACAGATCCAGGGGCGGATATAGGGCAGGGCGAACAGGGCGGCCGTCCCGGGCCCCACGCTTAAAAAAGCCCCGCGCATGCGCATGGCGTCACGGCGCATGCGCTGTGGCAAAGGGGGGGCCCCGCGGAGTTACACTGCCCGGGGCCCCGCAAAACAGTCATCTGCCCCTCACGGATCCCAGAGCTTTTTTTCCTTAGCAGTATCCATTGGGCCAGCCAGGGAGTCCCCTGGTGTGGTGCCACTATATTGGTGCATATATGCCCCTGCTGGTCTTCCACGCCCTCATCTTGCCGGAGTCCTCTGACAATGGGGAGGTGGGTGGGATTTGGAATGGACATGAGCAACAAATCTCGAACAACAACAGTTACAAAGTGAATATTCAGTTTTTCTTTTTTGAGTGCTTGCTCATGTCCGTTCCAGCTAGGTGACTCCCTAGCAATACTACAGGGAGTACTACAGGAACTAATATGCAATGGACTGCAACACAGCCCTCTCAAAAGACTGCATCGCCCCTGGCCTGCTGCATAATGGCTTGTAAACATATGAACAGAGGACCACAAAAAATGAGATCTATGAAACTCTCAAGTCTTATCAATGTAGAAGGCTACGGCCCTCCTTACATCTAAATAGTGCAGGGACTGCTCTTTAGGCATTGAGTGAGGTTTTGGGAAGAAAACTGGGAGGTAGATATTCTGAGACATGTGGAAGTGGGAGACAACCTTAGTAAAAAAGGTAGTGTGGGGCCAGAGCCTGATCTTATCCTTAAAGAAGACAGTATATGGGGGCTCAGATGAAAGGGCCCTCAGCTCTGATACCCTTCTGGACAATGTAATGGCCACTAGAAAGACTACTTTCCATGGCAGGTGCTTCAAGGAGCAAGTGGCTGAGGGGTTCAGACAGGGGGCTCATGAGTCTTGTAAGAATCAGGTTAAGATCCCAGGGGGCACAGGCTGCCAAACAAATGGGTACAACTTGTCCACTCCCTTGAGGAATCGCTTAACCAATGCATTTGCAAATACCGTCCTACTCCATTCCCCAAGGTGGAATGCTGCAGTAGTCACTAAGTGAACCCACAGGGACCAGCTGCATTGACGGGCTGTCTCACAAACAGGATGCCCTGGCAGACAATGGACTCTTGTAGCCACCAGTCGAATGACGAGGTAATGTCGTCCAGTATCGTGACTATTGCGTCCAGCAGTGCATGCACCGGATTGTGCACTGTTACCAGCTATACCGAAGCTGTAGTGTGGCATGCGGTATTACATAAGTGCAGGCTGCCATGTGGCCCAACCTCATGCACATCCTTGCTGTCATGAAAGACAAAGACTTGAGGCCTTCGATTATTATCCTGATAGCCATGAATCTGGCCTTGAGGAGGGAAGCCCTCACCGAGGTAGAGTCTAGTGGGCCCCAACAAAGTCTATTATCTGAGTAAGGTCGAGTGTGGATTTCTCCTCATTTATGAGGAGTCCCATTTTGAGAAACAGAGCCCTGACTAGGTCTATGTGGCTCAGAAATTGTTCCCTGGACGAACCCCTGATCAACCAATCATTCAGTAAGGGAACGCCTGGACCCTGTTCCTCCATAAGGCCATGACGGCAACCATACATTTGGTAAAGACCCTAGGCATCTTGGACAGGTCAAATGGGAGGACTGCAAACTGGAAGTGGTCTAGGCCTACTGTGAATCTTAGGAATTTTTTGTGGCCAGAATCACCAATATATAAAAGTATGCATCCTTGAGATCAAGGGCAGCATACCAGTCTCCTTTCTCTAGGGAGGGGATGGTGGAGGCAAGAGTGACCATTCTGTACCTTGTTTTCTTTATGAATGAGTTGAGGTTCCTTAAATCCAGGATGGGTCAAAGGCCTCCCTTGGACTTTGGGATAAGGAAATATCTGTAATAAAACCCTCTCCCCTTGAATTCCTGTGAAACAGGCTCAACTGCCCCCAGATGCAGAAGCGAAGATACCTCTAGTCTTAACAACTGCTCACGAGAGGGGTCCTGAAGACAGATGGGGGGTGGGAAGGAGGTTAGGAAAGGAAGGGGAGAGCATATTCACTTTACACCAGGCCAACCACCCGGTGATCCAAGGTGATCTTGAACCAGGCAAGGTAGAAATGGGATAGCTGGCACCCAAAGGGGGGTGTTATTGCAGAGACTGGGACACCGTCCTAGGGCGTATTTTCAAAATGAAATCTTGGGCTGCTGGTTGGGAGGCGTGGCAGATCCCCTTTCAGAGTCCGACCTTGACACCCTATTCTTGTTCCTGACATTGGTGGTGTTATTATTCCTATCCCTCCTTCTGCCTCAATCAGGTCTGAAGGACTGCTAGAAGGGTCTCAGGGTTGTCCTGGGGTGTAGAGGTCTCCTTTGAGGTGCTGAGGTATGGATCCCCAGAGTCTTCAGAGTAGTCCTGGAGTCCTTGAGGCCATGAAGCCTCAAGTCTGTCTGGTATAAGAAGAGACCAGCCTCCTGAAAAGGGAGGTCTTACAGAATATTTTGGACCTCAGACAGAATCCCAGACACCTGAAGCCACGCACTTCACTTCATGACAACCCCTGTAGCCATCGTATGGGCTCGCACAGTCTGCAGCATCCAAAGCCACTTGCAGCACCATACAAGAAACTACCTTGCCTTCATCTGACAAGGCCCCAAACTGTTGTCTGGATTCCTGCAGGAGGAGTTCTTTGAACTTCTCTACAGCAGACCATGTATTATAAGCATATCGGCTCAGCATTGTTTGCTGATTTATGATAGGCAGTTGTAGGCCCCCTGTGGCATAGGTCTTCCTGCCCAGGAGATCTAGTTTTCTCGGGTCCCTGCTCCGTGGCATAAACCTGGGTGGACCTTGCCTTTCCTTTTGACCCACTAGGGAGCCCGGGGCACAGTGCACATAAAGCTGTTCATGTTCTGAGGTAAGGATGAAGTAACGCCTCTCTACCCCTTTTTGGGTGTGTGGTATAGAGGTGAGTGTCTGCCACGAGGTTTTTGAGATTTGATGTTTTAATAGTAGTGCGACCCTGGCGGGGGCATCAGCTATCAATATGTCGGGTCTGAGTCCTCCGGGAGCTCCTCCACTTGAACCCCTAAATTGGCTGCCAGCCAATGTAACATATCTTGGTGTTCCCTGACATCCATCACAGGCATGGAGGGCACAAGATCAGCCAATGTCTCATCAGGCAAGGAAAAGGACAACTGCCTTCCCGGGAGCTGCTGAGCCAGATTCCCCTCACTCTTGGGTGGTGGTCTCACCGCCTTAATGTAAAATGACTATGTGACCTAAGAGATTGGGGCTCTCGTGAGGGGGGTGGCCAAAGGAGTAACCTTTGAGTGAGTGGCCACTAACAAAGGCCTCAAGGGAGGTGGCCCTGGGCCTGATGATATGCCCACGGTGTTCAAAATAGCCACTGGGTCTGTGGTTGCCATTGGGGCAGCCATGTCTGTTGTACTGTGGGGCTTGGGTGCTGGGAATGGTACCGGGATCAGGAGCAATGGTGCAACCTAGATCTATATGAAGAGACTGTTGAGCAAAGAGACTCAGCTTCTGATTCGGACAAGTAGTCCGAAGCTGACCACAGTGGTGCCAGAGACCGGTGCGATGAACTGTGGTGAGCCATTGCCATTGGCTTCCTCCTGTGGGTTGGTACCAGTAGGGACATCAAAAGTGCAGGTGCAGCAGGGGCTGTAAATATGTGGTCTGTGCTGCTGGTACAAGAGGTGCCCCTTGTACTGACACCCCTGGTTCAGAAAAGTATAACGGCACCACAGACATTTGGGGTCCAATAGGAGGCCTTGGCACTGGTGCCATTGCCGAAGTCAGCAATGTAGCTGGAACTAATACCACAGACAGGGCTGGTGCCAGTACTGTGATTGAGACTGGTGCTGGTGTGGATGTTGGTACCGGTTCAGGAGGCAATGTCGGTGCCAGTGTCTGTGCTGGTGCCAGCACACATGCCAGTGCCAAAGAGCGAGGCTGCACCAAATGGTGTGGTAATAGCAGCTGGGTCAGTTCCTGTACCATGGAAGGTCCAGGGTGCACTGTCCCTGGATCTGGTCCTGGAGAAGATGTGAACTCTATGAGGTCACGAGCCACGTGGAAAGTCTCGGGGGTCAATGGTTGCCAGATCTCTTCAATCGCTATGTCTGGAACTAGACTCTTCCCACATGGCGAGCTCAACTTGTGCCGACATGGCACAGGAGTCTCCTGACGCATCGTTGTAGCTGCATTCCCATCACCATGGCACACTTTGTAGCTATGTTAGGTAGGAAACGGCCCCCGTTCTGCCTCTTCTTCCTCGGTGTTGGAGACTGGGACTGGTACCTTGATGTTGAGGGCTTGGCCAGTGCCGCAGTGTGTCCTGGAGCCGATGAAAGTTCCAGCACCAAAGCCGGTGAGCTGTGCACCCTGGGTGCCGCATCCAGTGCCGCCAGTTGTAGAGCGGACTCCATGAGGATGAGCTTAAGATGGGAATCATGATCCCACTTTGTTCTTGGCTTAAAGCCTTTGCATATCTGACAGCTGTCTGTATAATGGCCCTTTCCTAAGCACTTCAGGCAGGAGTCATGCGGGTCACCGCAGGGCACAGGTTTTAAATACTTTACACATGGCTTAACACTCTGTGGTCCAGGCATCCCCTCCCCAAGAGGGGGAGATATAAGAAGGGGAACTCCCTTATCTATAACAACAAACTAATAAAACTATTTACACTAAGAAGTACAATTAACACTAACACTATTTACAGAAGGCTAAGGGATAGACTGTCTGCGTAGTCAAGCACTCCAGCTTCCATCACAGACGGTAAGATGGAACTTAGAGGGTGGACAGCCATCAGGGGTATATATGCATCGATATAGTAGCGCCATTCCAGGGAACTCCCTGGCTGGCCCAATGGATACTGCTAAGGGAAAAAAGCTCCAGGATCCATGGACATGGCACACACACACTTAACTGGAATGGACATGAGCAAGCAGTCACAGGAGAACTGATCCTATATTCATTTAGGCCCTCTTGAAGCCCTCAGGTTCCCTTAACCTTCAAGGACAGGATACCAAAACTGGTCCTTTGCCACAACAGAAAAGATCTGGTTATAGAAGAAAATGTCAGAGTAACTTTTATTTCCCCCATCTCCATTCCAAACTAAATACTAATCCACAGTGCAACACTTACTTATCCACTTACGATAATCCTACGGTTATCATGACAAGAATGAAATCCTGCACGGACATTGAAGTCACAAACATTGTCAAACATGGTGCCTCCAGAGCTATCACAAGATAGAATATGATTAGTTTAGCAAAGGTTTCTAAAGTTTTGAACTGTCAGTACCTAAACTAGCCCATCCCATACCAGACTTCAGACACCAGCTGGGCACACACAGATCTTTTATCAGGATGAGAGACCTTTTGCACTTCTATCTTAATGCAAAGAAAACAGACATGCATCTCACTTGTCCCCCTGTTGACCTATGTTCCTGGAGAAAGATATAGATTGTGGATGAAAAGGTATTTACTTTGACCACTGACCTTGCATTGAAAAAATCTAATCCCCACGCATTATAAAAGGAATTTGTCTTTCATCCCATGGATCTCCCACTTCCCTAACACAAGGGTGACTCTCTACATCCCAAGAAAAAGTGATCTAGTCTCTTTCAGAGTACGTCTACACAGCAGCGTTATTTGGGAATAACTGATGTTACTTCGAATAACATAGTGCATGTCTACACAGCAATGCATTATTTTGAAATAATGTCAAGATGGAGGACTTCTTACTCTGACTCCTGTAACCCTCATTTCACGAGGAGAAAGGGAAGTCAAAGGAAGAGTGTTCTTCCTTTGACTGCCTGCGGTATAGACCTCACCAAAAGCTGAATTAAGCTATTCCATCTTCAGCTACACAATTGACGTAGCTGAAATTATGTATCTTAATTTGACTTTTGCCCTGCAGTGTAGATGTGCCCTCAGAAAGTTCTCACCTCTCAAATCACAGGAGGTGATTCCCTCTCAAAATACAATTACAAAATTCCTACTCTCTATGGAACTCACCTCCACATGTCAGTGTGACACAGTCTGTTTTCAGAACAAATGTTTTCTATTCAAGACACTCAGTCCATCATTTTCAATCACCCTAACATTCCATCTGCCACTTAGCAAAGAACAGAATGAATAAGATGCTACTGAACATGCACGATATACATAGCCGATGTCATTTCATGCAAGACTAGTAATTGCTACATGATTCAGACTTTTCAGACTGGATTTCAAGATAATATTTAGCACATATAAAATTGTTAGCATCTATTTTGGGCTATTTTTTCTCTATTAACTGAATGAGCTGTCTTTGAGAAATATATAGTTATCTAGAAAGTATTACAGCTTTGTTAAGTCATGGTGATTACAGGTAAATCTTAGCTAGCAAAGTGGGTGGTCAAGTCAAATGGATTCTAGTTATGTTCATGTCTAGAAGTGATGTTTATAACTGATTAATATAAATCTTTAGTATATTTGAAATAATTTCCCAAAAGACGTATTTTACAAATTTCATTTGGCAGGTTATGTTCTCAGTGGATTTCCTTCTCTCTCAGAGGAATACATGACTATTTCGGAGCAATTAGAGAAAATTAGAAATCTAAAATTAAAACCAGATTTCCTGATTAACATTAAGGTAATATCAACTTTGATAACTTGCTAATCATTTAAATACTTATTCTTAAAATAAGATTAATATTCTATACGAGTCAGAGTAATTTTTTACATAAATTGAAGTGTGATAGCTGTTGCCAAGGGCCAAATTCTTGTTTTACAATGGAGTGGTCAAAAACATTAATCTGGCTTTATGCTGCTGTAATAGACAGCAGAATTTGGCCCTACAGGTTATGGTAAACTGGTGGTTGCTGGAGCAGCCTCCTCCCACATTGGGAGGCTACTCCAGCCCACCCAGTCCCATTTAATCACTTAACCCATGGGTTCTCAAACTTTGTGATACCATGACCCCCCTCTAAGTTGCTTGCAACCCCTCTCTGAGTTACTCGCGACCCCCCGGGGGGTTGGGACTCACAGTTTGAGAAATGCAGACTTAACCTGTTAAACATAATATTTAATGGTCATCTAATTAAATGGTATTTTACATCCCTGCTATAAATCAATCCTGCAAGGTATCTTGTATAACTTCCATGGGAGTAATAGTCAGTAAGCACCTCATGATCAGTTTTTAAGACTGAAACAAAAGGCATGTGTTCTGAAAAAATAATAAAGCCTTGGGATAGTAAAAGACTATGGATATTGTAAGTCTAAGCCAGTAGAAGTGCTGTTTGAGACTGTCTTCAAATATTCTTGGGAAAAAATAATTATATATTTGAGTGAGAAAATGAGTTACTTTATAGTTTTTCCTTCTGTCTGATTGCAAGCAATACAACTTACAGATCAGTTATTTACAAAAGAAATTTGGACTGAATTTGTAAACTTCTGTTTTTGCTTGCAGAATTTACTGAAATACTCCAATTAGATGTAAGAACGGTAGTCAAAGGCCTTTTTATTCCATAGATCTTTAAGAACCAAAAAATATATTCGATTTATTAGGTCTTTTCCCACTCTAACTTCTAAAATAATGAATGCGCTGCCGAAACAACAGTCTGTTGCATTGTGCATGTATTCTCACTAGGGGTGTGTCTAGACTACAGGGTTTTGTTGACAAAAGTGGACTTTTGTTGACAAAACTATACCTGCGTCTACACTACCGCCGAGTTCTGTCGACAGTAAGTCGACAAAACGCAGCATTTTGTTTGACGGCAGTAAACCTCATTCTACAAGGAATAACGCCTTTTGTCAACAGAGTTCTGTCGACAAAAGGTACTATTGCATCCACACTGTACTTTTTCAAAAGAGAGCACCTGGGCTCCCTGTCGAAAAAGCGGCTTGCTTTGTCGACAGAACTGGCTGTAGTCTAGACGCTCTTTGTCAACAGAGACTTTGTGAACAGTATCTGTCGACGAAGCCTCTGTTGACAAAATCCTGTAGTCTAGACGTACCCTAAGATTTTACTTGTGGTTGCTCAGACTCTATGGGTATGTCTAGACTACATGGCTCTGTCGACGGAGCCATGTAAACTAGTTTACCCAGCATAGGCAAAGAAGCAGGGATTTAAATAATCCCCGCTTCATTAAAATAAAAATGTCCGCCGCGCTGTGCCGACGGTCTGCTGATCCAGCACAGCGCGGTAGTCTAGACTCAGATCGGTTGGCTGGGGAAGCCTTTGCCGACCGATCCCTTATGGCTCGTGGGTGATATGGTAATACACCAGTAGAAAAGCAATTCTCGATTTCATTTAGGCCATGTCTACACTAGGGAACTATTTTGAAATAAGTAAATTTGACCTAAAAACTCCTGATTTTACAAAATCAAAATAGCTTGTCCCCATAACTGGAAAGCCTCAAAATTAGTCTGAGGTAGGCTTTGTTATTGTAGCTGCATTACCTCGACTTAGAGGTCCAGGAAGCACTGGGGAGTAATTAATTCAAATTACTCTGGGGAATAGTTATTTCGAAATAACAGCACCAGAGCATTTACACTAACACTGTTTCAAAGTAACAATTTCAAAATTAGCATTATTCCCGAGAAAAGCAGGAGTACAGATTTCAAAATAAGTGGACCCTTATTTCAAAATAACAGGCTTGGTAGTGTGGATGCTCTGCTTATAAATTTGACCTAAGTGGGATTATTTTGAAATAAAGCCCTACTGTAGACCATGGCTCATGTAGCTCATCTCTCCCTTTTGATTTCAGTTGAAGGAAGGTTGAGACCTTATACTCCAAGGGAGTAAAAATCAAATGAAGTCAAAGGAGAGTTTTGCTGTTGTTTTAAGTGGTTCTAGAATTTTACCTAGATGTGATAGAATTGTGGCTATTTTCACTGTCAAAAAAAAAAAAAAAAGGAGTCTCTTTAGAAATGTGGGTATGTCTAGACTACATGGCTCCGTCGACAGAACCATGTAGATGAGGTTTCTAGACATAGGAAAATGAAGCGGCAATTTAAATAATCGCCACTTCATTTACATCAACATGGCTGCCGTGCTGTGCCGATCAGCTATTTGGCGGCAAAGTGCGGTAGTCTAGATGCTCTGTGGTCGACAAGGGAAGCCCTTGTCGACTGCCCCATTATGCGTTGGGGAATGAGGTTTACCAGAGCAGTAAATTGCTGCTTCATTTTCCTATGTCTAGTAAACTCATCTACATGGCTCCATCAACGGAGCCATGTAGTCTAGACATACCCTGTATGAACTGTGAATAACTTTTTGTTATTCACTTTGGAAACATCTTGTTCTATTTGTATATGAAAAATTGTTAAAGAAGAGGAGGCTGGCGGGGGCGGGGGTTGGAGAGAGGAGGGGAGTCTCAGCAAACACCTCTTCTTGCCTTCATCTCAAAGTTATGTGTCATATGGCAATCCTATGAGATCTCCTAGGTTTTGCAAGGGAAGCAAGGCAATCTCTAGAACTTCAGTAAGACTTCAAGGGATAGATCATGTAGTGAGCTTATCATGCTCAGTACGTGACAACGTGGTCCAATTAAACATTATTTTGTTCTGTATAAATCATTCCTGCCTTTTGCCCCTCCCTGAATTTGTTGGCAGTAAGACTTTCCTGTTTTCTCAGCCTTTTCAAATATTAGGAGAAAGCCATGTGAGGTTATGTGGTAGGTGATTGGGCAGTAGCTATGGTGGTTGTGAATAGCCTATTTAGAAAGGCTCTTCCATATCCTTTTTGACATCTTGTTCATTTAATTATTGCTGTTGGCTGTCTTTTTTTAAAGTTGTATGTGCCAAGAAAGCTATTGAGAATTGCAACATGAAAAAAAGTTTAAAAGTAATCTCTTACTACTGTGATAGAGATGTAGCCGTGTTAGTCTGGGGTAGCTGAAGCAAAATGCAGGATAATGTAGCACTTTAAAGACTAACAAGATGGTTTATTAGATGATGAGCTTTCGTGGGCCAGACCCACTTCCTCAGATCAAATAGTGGAAGAAAGTAGTCACAACCATATATACAAGTAGAGAGAGGGTAAGTTTAGAAGATAGGATACACAAAGAACAAGTTAAAAATCACTTAGGAAAGTTAGATGTCAGCAAGTCACCAGGTCCTGATGAAATGCATCCCAGGATACTCAAGGAGCTGATAGAGGAGGTATCTGAGCCATTAGCTATGATCTTTGAAAAATCATGGCAGACAGGGGAGATTCCAGAAGACTGGAAAAGGGCAAATATTGTGCCCATCTATAAAAAGGGGAATAAGAACAACCCAGGAAACTATAGACCGGTCAGTTTAACGTCTGTCCCAGGGAAGATAATGGAGCAGGTAATTAAGGAAATCGTATGCAAACACTTGGAAGGTAATAAAGTGATAGGGAATAGCCAGCATGGGTTTGTGAAGAACAAGTCATGCCAAACTAATCTGATAGCTTTCTTTGATAGGATAACGAGCCTTGTGGATAAGGGAGAAGCGGTGGATGTTTGTCCAATGTACATTGGTACCTTCCCTTGCAACAAACCCCGTTGCCAGCTTTGTCCACATATTCATTCTGCTGATACCATTATTGGACCTAACCAAGTGAGTTATAAGATCAAGAACACATATTCCTGCGCATCCAGAAATATAATCTATGCTATCATGTGCCGAAAGTGTCCGTCTGCTATGTACATTGGACAAACATCTCAGACACTTCGCCAAAGGATTAATGCCCACAAAACAGATATCAGACAAGATCACAAAGAGAAAACAGTTTCTTGCCACTTTAACCAGAAAGGACACTCTCTAAATGACTTAGCCACCTGCATTCTGCTACAAAGACCTTTTACATCTGCACTTGAAAGGGAATCCTCTGAACTGTCATTCATGTTAAAATTCGACACTTACCACCAGGGACTTAACAAGTCTTTGAACTTTCTCACCCATTATCAAGACAGTTTCCCCAATTATCACCTGTAATACCATTAACTCACAAACATCCCACTCTCCCTACCTCTAATATCATCAATTCACAGACACTTACCTTCCTTCCTCCCCCTTCCCACCCCCCCGCATCCTCCTTCTGTTCTGCAATGTGATTTGTCCTTTTCATATTTGTTCTTTTTTTTAATTGTATCCTTTGGTATATATGGTTGTGACTACTTTCTTCCACTATTTGATCTGAGGAAGTGGGTCTGGCCCACGAAAGCGCATCATCTAATAAACCATCTTGTTAGTCTTTAAAGTGCTACATTGTCCTGCATTTTGCTCTTACTACTGTGAAATGTAAAGAAAAATAATAGTTATGACAATAATAAAATCAGAAAGTTTTCTTTTAATTATTTCTGATCTAGTGTCCTGACTATGATTTGTGCCAAAGACTCTCTGGACAAAGACAACACCCCGATACAGGGCAGATATACCAAAAGAACCAGTGGGATCCTGAAATGATCGACAAACGCAAGAAAAAAAAGGATCAGCACAAAGGAGAAGATGAGGAAGAGGAAGAGGAAGAAGAGCAAGAAGAAGAAGATGAGGTACAGAAGAAGCTCTCTTTATTAGCAACCATATCAGAAAAGAAACAAAGCTCATGAACATTTAAAATAAATGAAAAAAACAAACAACTTCTACTCTGAATGCATTTTGTTCACCCCTTTTTGTAGATGAACTCTTCTTTAAGAGATGTAGTATAGTATTTACATAAAATTTTAATAGACATTCAGTACAATGATTTAGCAGTATTTATAATATTTTAGCAAGTCTGCCAGTTTTGACATTGGACTACCATACAATACAGTGTAATCTCATAGTTATGAACACCTCAGGAATGGTAGTTCATAACTGAAAATTTCATAACTTTGAACAAAATTTTATGGTTGTTCTTTCAAACATTTACAAGTGAACATTGACTTAATACAGCTTTAAAACTTGTCTATGCAGAAGAAAAATGCTTTTAACTATCTTAAATTAAACAAGCACAGAAACAGTTTCCTTACCTTGTCAAATCTTTTTTTTTAAATTTTTCCCTTTATTTTTAGTTTATGTTTCAGATTATGTTCATGTTTTAGTTTATTTTTGGTTTATTTTTAACACAGTACAGAATTTCCTTCACCTCCAGAGTGAGTCTTCTTGGCATTAACTAAAACACAATAAAACTAGTATAGCAGCTTTGCTGGACGTGGAGAAAAAGCAAAAAAGAATATAGATCTACTGATTATGTACAGCTAATCAAAAATAAATTATGAGCACTTACAAAATATGTATGATTAATAACATTCACACTAATCTTTGTCATAGATTGTACCTCCAGAGCACTCTGGGTTAAGCACTCTTGTCAAAAGATGTCCTTCTCTGGCTGTAGAGTTGGTTTAGTGTACAGAGCATGGTCCTCCAGCACAAATCTTAGGGTATGTCTACACTACATGGATCCGTCGACGGAGCCATGTAAACTAGTTTACCCAACATAGTCAATGAAGCAGGGATTTAAATAATCCCCGCTTCATTAAAATAAAAATGGTGGCCACGCTGTGCCAATAATCGGCATGGCACGACAGTCTACGGATGGATCAGTTGACAAGGGAAGCCTTTGTCAACCGCTCCTGTTATCCTCATTTCACGAGTCATAAGGAAGCGGTCTACAAAGGCTTCCCTTGTCAACTGATCCATCCGTAGACTGTCGTGCCATGCCGATTATTGGCACAGCGTGGCCACCATTTTTATTTTAATGAAGTGGGGATTCTTGATTCATTGACTATGTCAGGTAAACTAGTTTACATGGCTCCGTTGATGGAGCCAGGTAGTCTAGACATACCCTAAGGGTATGTCTACACTAGCCCCCTAGTTCGAACTAGGGAGGCTAATGTAGGCATTTGATGTTGCAAATCAAGCCTGGGATTTATATATCCCGCGCTTGATTTGCATCTTCCTGGCCAATCGCCATTTTTTGAAATTTACAAGTCCGGACTAACTGCACGTGTCTACACGCAGCAGGGACCTGGTAGTTTGAAATAAAGCCCTAGTTCGAACTACCTGTTATTCCTCCTGGAATGAGGTTTAACAGGTAGTTCGAACTAGGGCTTTATTTCAAACTACCAGGTCCCTGCTGCGTGTAGACACGTGCAGTTAGTCCGGACTTGTAAATTTCAAAAAATGGCGATTGGCCAGGAAGATGCAAATCAAGCGCGGGATATATAAATCCCAGGCTTGATTTGCAACATCAAATGCCTACATTAGCCTCCCTAGTTCGAACTAGGGGGCTAGTGTAGACATACCCTTAGAGAGGTGGTAACCCCCCTTCTAAGCACAGATCAGTCCAGAAAATGATATGGGCATGTCAAATGACAACGCATTCCGCAAAATAGCCCAGACTTAGTCAATAGACCACTTCAAGGTAAGAGGTCAGTAGTCTCTGAAAGGAATCAGAAGTATTAACCCATTTTGCTATAATGCCATAGAACACGATCAACATTTTCTTTAGTTTTGCACATATTACAAAGTCCATCTTTATATCTTTAGTACGTTGGCACAATGATCTGATAACAATCTAAAAATGACTACTTCACTTTTTACAAGCATGACGGTAGAGTTAAATATTATCTTCAGTTTTCTGAGCTTATACATCATAGAACTTCTCCCGTTGTTTCCTTAGTCCATAGTTCTTGCCATTAACAACCATACTTTCAAATTCTTATCTACTCAAGGCAACACTGGATTTAGAGCAGGGGTGGGGAATTTAAGGCCCAGGGGCCAGATGCGGCCCCAAGCTTGCCTGGAACTGGACTCCTGAGACTCAGGGCTTTTCCTCATGGGTTTGGAGCACACATTCTACCATGCTGGGCCCCCCTAAGCTCCAGTGTGTGAGGGAAATGTGCAGGGTGTCTTTCACCTTCTCAGTCAGGAGCCACGTCAGTGAAGGTTGGTTCTTTTTTTACTTTCTTCTTCTTCTAATTATTCCCAAGTGCTTTCTGGAGCTCTGAATCCCTGACTGATTTTTCTGTGGGTCAGCAGCCCACGACCCAAATAAGGTTCCTTACCCCTATTTAGAGGCAGGAGGCTCAGGCAACCGCTTAGGAAACACCGGGCTTGGGGTGGTGTTTTTGTTAGTGACAAAAAGGAAAATAGAATATTTAAAGAAAAAATGTCTCCGGTTCTATGAAATTCTACAGTATTCCAGAACATTATAAAAAACATGAAAAATGAACCTACATATAGAATACCTATTAGACTTTCTGGAAAGTTCATTTTTTGAACCTCCTTGGACATTGTTAGCCAGGCCCTGTACATTTAAGTGATTCTTAAAATATTAAAATATCTCTAATCTCATCTAATAAACCATCTTGTTAGTCTTTAAAGTGCTACATTGTCCTCTAATCTTAGGGGAAAGAGGTTTTTTTAATTTGCTTATATATGGCATGAATAAATATAAATTTATAGATCCTAGAATGCAAGTTTATCTTTTTATATGACAGAGATAAATCATGCATGCAATTATGCATCCTAGTTGTGAAATGGGCTACAGATGCTATGAAAATAAGGTATTCCAACATTTAACAAATGAAAGGGGGCTCTGAAGCTGCTTCTTGTGTGAGACGTCATTTAGTGTAGGACTAGCTTCGACTCAAGGATATGTTAATATCCACCTGCTCTTTTTGCAAAACATGTTTTGCTCTTTTGTCACTCGTCTCATTTTCACAAATTTCAGTATGTGCTAGAATCAATTCTGTAGTCACGTGGATACCAGCCTGCATTTTTCCATAGTTAGGAATTTTATTTCACTTACTATCTCATTTCTATTTTCTGGAATCCCTGTTTTAAATGTCATTATTCCTGACAAGAAATCGGATAAAATTATAGCTCCTATTGGTCAGATGTTTCTTTTATTCAAATTAGTGCCAACATTATTCCCATTGGGTTAGCTATCTGAATGGTCACGTAATTCAACAGCCTGTTAGATTTCTGGATTCCAAGAGTAGACAGAGAAGAGTGTTCCTAATTCCCCCATGCTGTCATTTTTTTATTCATTTACATAGACTTTGTAAAACTGTCCCTATTTTTTATAAATACATTTTAAAATGTCATTGGTCACACGTGTGGATTTATCCTTCAGCTCCAAATCCACAAATGGGGAATAACTCTTCAGATGTAATCTGAGTTACTTTTACTACAAATGTTTAATTCTCTCAATCTTTTGAACTATCTGAATTTTTTCACCATAAATGTCACCGTCTTCCCTAATTTTCTTCATGGTTAAAAGCATTCTCTATTTCTGCAAGAAAGAATTAAAATCTCCAATCTTTCCCCCATTTAGAAATTCTCTGGCATTTCTCATTTTGCTTTTATGCTCTCCAGCTTTTCAAACTTTATATAGTTCTTATAGGTGTAGTGCAGTGTAGCCTCCCACAGCACTGCTGGCACCGGCAACCCATGTACCTTTCCCTTTCACTACCATGGAGGAGCTTAGGGTAACTTCAGTGCCAACAACCCCGTTTTTTGGCACCACTGGCATGCCCTCATCTGGCAGGTTTTCACTCTCAACTCCTGCAGGGTTGGCACCTCTACTTTCAAGTGACGAGGATGATGAGCTCTTGGTCAGTATACATACCCCGAGGCACTCATCCCCAAAGTATCTACAACAGCAGCAACAAATAGCATTGCAATGGCAACCACCTCAATGGCTGTTCCCTCCTGTGCCCCTTACAGCCAATTGCCCTTACTGGGACCCCAGGCATCATACTGAGCCCAGAAGCCACAGTAGGTACAGCCTCAGCCAACTCCATCAGCTCCATCAAGAGCCACCTCCCTGGACAGATGAGCCTACCAGGAGAAAGATGACCCAGCGTCAAGTGATGAGAACTATTCCGTGTCTTCTTACCCTGCAACTCACATATCGTCCTCCCCGTTGACACTTTTAATGCCCCCTCCTCCTACGGCAGGAGATGACTTCCACTCATTCTAGGAGTTATACAAGAGGGTGGTGGACATTCTGGAGGTCTCCCTGGTGAGTCTCCCTGAAACACAACATAAACTGACCAGCATACTGCATGCCTCCCCATCTACTGAGCTATCCCTACCAATGGATGAATCCTGCCAAGGTGATCTGGCAGACACCAGCCACAATCCCACCAGTCTGCAAAAGATCTGCAAAATACTATGTTGCACCACAAAGTGCTGATTTCCTGTTTTCTTACCTGTTCCCAAATTCTTTAGTGTTGGACGCTGTCAACCAGAGGTGAAAACAGAGTGCAGCTAAAACCACACTGTTTGATAAAGAGTGGAATCGCCCTTTCTACCATCATGACTGACTAGTGGGTACTGGACATTATGAAGGGTGGATACTGTATCCCTTTTTCTTCAACCCCCTTCTCCCACCAACCCTCCCTGGCCCTTTTCAGGGAACCATCTCACCAGAGCATCCTATTCCAAGAGATCAAACATTTACTTCGCCTAAGAAACAAAGAAGCTGTACTCCATCATTACAGGTGCAACGGGTTCTACACCAATTACTTCCTCACAACAAAGAAGTCAGGGGCATGGAGAT